TCACCACCATATGACCTGAACTGTGCAGTTGTTCCAACATTCCTACAAAGTTGCTGGGGCAGGAGTCAGACTCTTTGCTTCCAACAGCCAGCCCTATCCATCTCGCCCCACCTCCAAGGTCAATGGCATCACACTCACAACGTGACATGGACCTGACAGAGTATTTACATTACAGAGATTAGCGAACATAACAGAGCAGGTGGTCTGTGTTGCTTTTAAACCTTCCAGAGGGAGGGCCAGTGGTTAAACACCTCTCAGCACAGCACTGGGGCTGGGTGGGCACAGAGATATACTCCGACCTCCAGGCTTTCCCTGGCGGGGGGAGCAGACCAGCTCGCTGCATGTTGTCTTTGCTCCATTGGGTTTTCTTGTCAGTGCTGCCTGCGCAATGTCAACTTCTAAGGGGATATCTTTTCTCGCTTATCAGATTGGTTTCCAAGGATGATGGTGATGTTCACAATGGGTGGAGGTGAGAAGGAGGGACACACTCAGGTCCTGGCGATGGGAGAATAAATAGAACAGAGCAGCTGAAGGGCAATTGACAAATTTCTGCCAAGCTATGCACACTGAGTTCATTCTAAGGAGACAGGGACTCATGTAACTTTATGGATTTGAAGGCATTCAGTGCGGTATTATGTACATCTGGTCCTCAACCTGGGAGGGGGTGGGGGGCTGGGGAGGCAAAGGGGCATTTTACCCACTTGGCAGCTTCTGGTCCTGTGGTTGTTACAACCAGGAAGGGGGAGGCTATAGGCTGTGGAGGGATACAGGCCAGGGATGCTGTCAAATATCCTACAAGGCACAGAGAAACTCCCTGCAAGAGATTTATCTAGGCCAAAATGTCAGCAGTGCTGAGGTGAAGAAAGTCTGCAGTGAGCTGATCTTGGGGCCCCTTAGATCAGGGCCGGTGGGATTGGGGTGGAGGGAGCATGGACATTTAGGTAACAGCAGCCTCTCAGGCGACCTTGCTGTACACCCAGGGCTGAGGACCTTCATTTATTCATTTTTAGATAATTGCAATAGCTTATATGGTTAGTAACAAGACAATAGTTATATAAATTTAGCACTTTGATAATAACATGATTTCCTCAGTACAACAAAGAGGTTGGACATCAATAAGAAAAAGACAAATAACAGAAAACTCTGCAAAGGACATGAAAAAAGCAATTCTCAAGGCGAAAAAAAAAAAAAAACAAAGAAGCAAAGCAATCTCTCTCTCTACACACACACACACACACACACACACATACACACCCCTACTTTGATTAATGCTGCATGCTTTGTAAATCTATGCATTTTTAGGTGGAGTTAATGTTTTTAAAATTCTGTTAAATACCAAATTCCAAAAGGATGTGTCAATTTCCCCTTTCACAAGAGTTTATCAAAGTGCCTAGATTAATGGATAGATATGTAGGTGGTAGGTAGATAGGTAGATAGATAGATGATCGAAGATGATGGATGGATGGGTCGGTGGATTGGTGGATAGATGGGTGGGAGGATATATAGAGAGATGATAGAGAGATACATAAACAGAGGAACAGAGAGAGACAGAGAGGATTTCATCATTGTGTTTAGTATGTAAGACTAGGAATTTAAAAAAAATGTTTAGGTGGAGGCTAGTTAAGAAATCATTGTATATTATGCAGCAGGACACTATGCTGTCATAGAGCAATAATTAAAATATATTGTTACATTAAACATCAATAAGTAGTTGAATGATAATATATCGATTCCATTTATGTGTATATAGACAGACTATTTTGGAAGGAAATGCAAGAAATTTTAAGTGTAAGAATGACTTTTTTTTTCCTTTTCTACTCTTCTGTGCTATCTGGATTTTTTTTTTTAACCCAGGCATACATTTTCATATAATTCAAAAATGATTTAAAAACATGACAGTATGTACATGTTTTTGTAGAATATTAATTAAATAATAATACCCATGACATCCTTACTAAGGGAAAAATCTGACTCGAGAGCGGTTGATGTGGTACAGACTTATTTTGTAAACATTCATAGAAAGAGCAAACATATCAAAATGTTCCACTCTTTGGAAGATGGGTGTTTTCTTCATGCTGTTTTCCAAAATTTCTACAATGAGCTTGTGATTCTTCTGAAATTAGAAATCTAAAAAAGCCTACAAAGAGGTTATTTTTCTCCCAGAAGCACTACACACGGCTGCTGGGTGCCGTGTGCTAGTGTAGTAGCATCAGAAACAACTTGGCTGTGATCACAATGTTTAGCCGGCATCTGTGGGGGGCAGCTGCAATGGTGACCCCGCAAACCCTTTGTTAAAAACGGCACTTCCTCTTGCAGATGGCTCCCCAACCCACTTCATTTTTGGATCCATTTGTTTAATGTGCAAAATGTGCCTGCTGGAGAAATTCATTGTTACCGCAAGTTGACAAGAGAAGATACTTTTTTTCTCACTGAGCAGAGTACCAAGATCTTAAAAGAGAAGCGGATCCTAGAGTCCTTCATTCAACCTGCCTCCAGCGGGCATTGACTCTATGGTGGGCATAGTTCCTAGAGGTAAAGGAGATGGATGTTCAAGGCTCCTGCTCTTAGGAGATGGCGTTATAGAGGAAGGAATAATAAACAGGTGGACAGATGATCAAGATGGCCACAGACAGTGAAAATGCTGGGGTGGTGGGAGAGAATAATCACGTAACAAGGGGTGGCTAATTTTGGGTTGTGTGGTCACTCAAATGTGAGCCAAGAAATAAGCTATAGGAAACCAAGAAGTAAGCAGACGGAGCTAGCCATCTGCAGGGCTGATGGAAGAGCCCAGGCAGAAGGAATGGCACGTGCAAAGGCCCTGAGGCAGGAACAAACTTGGCATATTTGAGAAAGAAAAAAGTCAGACTGGTAAGTCTGTAGTGGACGAGATGAGGTAGAGAAAGTGGGCCATGTTCTAGCAGGGTTTGTACACTGTGGGTAAAAGGGTTAGGCTTCAAGTGTAAAACCAATGACACAATTGCCTACATTTATTGTGTACCTACTGTGTGCAGTTACTGTTCTAAGTATTTTCCAAACATTATTTCAGTTGATCATTACAACAAGCCTGTGGAACAGGGATTATAATTACCTTTGTCTTTCAGATTAGAAAATAGGAAATTTGAATGAATTGCATCACGTTACACAGGTAAGGGCTAAGACCTGGGATTTGAACTCTGATCAGACTTGTGTCTTTATCTGTTGTTCATAACATCAGTCTTTATCTACCCGGCTGCCCCCCAACAATTGTTCCAAGCAATCTGATCTTTGCAACAATGATATCATTGCAATAAGTTGCATAAATACTTGGAAAAAGTACCTGTCTAAAAAAATCATACCAGTACCTTCTATGTACCAGATATTGGATGAATCATAACATTTATAGATTTCTATTATTTTATCTCCTCAAAGCCAGCTTCTTTGAAAATATCTGATACATTCTGAACTTGACATTACAGAATGTGACTTCCTGCTTTAAAACTCAACACCCTATCTCCACCATTCCCAGCCCTCATTTAACAACAGGGCTAATGAGCAAAACAGCCATGGGGCAAACCCTTTGCCACCAAGAGGGGAAATAGCAAAATAATCTCTTAAATTGGAATAGCTTTTAACAGTTTTCTGTCTGCTATTTAACTCGATCCTCTTAACAACTGTAGGAAGTGAGGGTGGTGTGATTTTCTACTCTCTTGGAATGGACGTGCTCGTGAATTGTGAGCAGAAGGGACATCAGATCTGGGAGGGGCTTTAAAGAGCCAGTCAAATTCATACACATTCTTTTCCTTCTGTCGGGACCACCTACAGCTTTCAAGATGGCGCCTGCTTCATTAACCTGAATCCCTGAATGGCTGTGATCAATGAAGCCTGTTGGCAACACAAGGTGGGCTTTTGTTGAGTGCAAAAAAGGAACTTTTGTTGTAGTAAGCCATTGAGATTTTGAGCTGATTACCTTAGTCTGACCTAGCCTTGTGGATCTCAAATTGGAGCTTACATTAGAATCAACTGTTATAGGGCAGGGAGGGGGGCACCTCAGAACCTCCAAACCTGCCTACTCTAAATAGGTTCTGCCATCTGCCACATCAACACAAAACATATAAGATCTTTAATGGAAAGGAACTTTCATGCAATTAGTGAACAATACAGAAAAGACAAAGAATATAGTTTCTTAATCAAGCACCCAAAGTCACCCATCCCCTTGTGGGTAAATGTCCACCTAAACAGGACTGACCCAGAGAAAGGCCCAAAAGCCTGCCCCAAGTCTAAAGCATCTTCCAGTGGGGACCCATAGAAGAGGGTCAGAAACAACCAGACAAGTCTGGAAGGAAAAGAGCAAAATCAAAATCAACATAAAAGCTGCCATTGTTAACCTCCCCATGGGTCTCTCCCCTACGTCTGTTTCAACCAGTCCAGGACCATGAAGCAAGCGCAGTTTCTTCACATGTCTCTCTGCTCCACGTGCCTCCTCCAGGTCTCCTTCTGGCTCTCCATCCTGCTTCCTTCCTTCCCCAGCTTCTTCTCCCTGTTCAGTTCCACCCTCCTTTGGGTGGGGCAGGAAACCTGGAGCATCCCCTTTTCCTGGGCACCACTCTGTTACACAACCACTCATACCAGAATCAACTCCTCCAGAGTTTCTGACTCAGTGTATCTGGGGTGGATTCTGTTAACTGGCACATCTAACGAGTTCCCAGGTGGTACTGCTGCTGCAGGTGTGGGGACTATTCTTTGGGAATCATTACCTCACCTGTGCATACCTGTTCCTTATTACTCCAAGGAAACCAAAGTTTGTTCTCTCATTCACGTTCCCAGAGTGTATTTATGAGAGACCTGCTATGTGGTAGGTACTCCCCTGGGTGCTGCATCATTGTGACACAAACAGCAGGCTTGGTCCTTGCCTCTGGTCTTAGGAATTTGCTTGAGGTCACACAGCTGGTGGGGAAGTAGCACTTGAATCTGTGACTTCTCACTCAAAATCTAGTACTTGCTCCATTATGCATAAGCAACATCAACAAACACCTGGGCTGAATTGATTATTCCTCTTAATATTCTCACAATGTCAAGATAGGTGAGTGGGAAATCTTAGATCCTTTGTGGATGGGTTTGGTTTGCAAGTTTAGAAAGAAGAGCTTCAAGGCAGGGTGGTGAGGAAAATGAGGGGCCCTTAGCACTGTTAGGAGACAGGAGGAAAAGAGAGCCTCCCGTGATGGCAGCTGTGGGAAGAGAGAAGTGACAAATGTGTGGTGGACACTGCGATGGACTGCCTAGACTTGGGGGGCTCCCCCCTTCAAGGATGACAGACTTACTCCCCCAGCTGCTGGGACTACTGCTGACTATGCTTAGCTAGCTGCCTCCAATGGGAATAGACTTTCCTACAGAGGGCTACCTCACCCAAGGTCACACCCCTTTCCTGGACAGACCACATCCAGTCATTGATGGGGCATACTATGTCTCCGAAGGGCCATCTCAGCACCAGTGCTGAGGTCAACGGGTGCCTTCAATGTGGCTGCATCCAGCTCAGCTGCTCCTCTCTTCCCCTCCATTCCCAAAGGTTGGGATCCTAAGAACATTCTTTAATAAGATCCTTTATGCTAATTTCCATCTCAGAGTCTGCTTCCCAGAAACCCAAGCTGCAAGAGGAATTTCAAGGTGTCTGCTGTGGGGTAAGTAATCTAAACGTCCTCCTCCTCCCTTTCAAAAGCTTTGGTGAAATTGGCATTGCTCACTCATGCTTTTGTGAGACAGCATTTAGAGTGGGTTGAAGAGTCTCCTGCCTCCTCCAAATTCATGTCTACCTGGAATCTTAGAATGTGACCTTATTTGGAAATTGTAGCTATAACTAGTTAAGGATCTCAAGATGAAATTATCCTGGATTTAGGGGCCTCCCTGGTAGCACAAGGGGTTAAGATGCATCCTATGAAGCAATCCGCAGCCACTGCAGCATGAGTTCTACCCCCAGCCAGGGAGCAACCCACATGGCACAGCAGACCTCTCCTGACTCGCCCACTGCTCCCCTCAGCAGTGTACTTCAGTAGATCCACCTGTTCTGTTCCCCACTTGTCTCTGGTGAATCCTCTTGCCCCCCCCACACAACTCTGGTCTGTACCCCAGTTCTTGTGTGTATAAATAAATAAACCTTAAAAAAATTATCCTGGATTTAGATGGGACCTACCTAAATCCAGTAACTGGTGTCTTTCTAAGACAAGAAGAGGACAGAGTGAAACCTACATACAGAAGATGTCAGATGAAGATAGAGGCAGAGATTAGAGAGATGCAGCCACAGCCAGAGAAAACCTTCCGGCTCCAGACAATCAGGAAGGGAAGGAAGGATTCTCCCCTAAGTCTTCAGAGGGAGCATAGACCTTCTGACACCTCTGTCTGGGACTTGTAGCCTCCAGAATCGTGAGGGAATTAAGCTGTGTTTTAACCATGCCACTTGGGGTGTCTTGTTTTGGCAGACTTAGGAAATAAACACTTCTCTTGAAAGAGCTTAATGAGGAAAAGGAAGGGACAGCAGACCACCCTACGAATGGAAAGGAAGTGGTCATGGGTGGGCATGTAGCAAGCACTCGATAAAGGCTGGTAGAACTAAACTGAACCCAGTGAGAATAAAGGAAAAGGAAATTTTATTGAAAATTATCTCAGGAGAGCTTCTCCATTTATTTTCTTTAGATCCTAGGCACCTGCTAGTTTGCATGCTCCGTCATGCTCTCTGATTCTGCTCAGGGACCTGTGGAAGGAACGGTATTCATTTTTGGACAATTCTAATAACTTTCTAGAAGCTAGTCATTAATGAGGTCCCTGCACTCACTGTGTCACTCTAAGGCATGTCCTGATCATTTCAACTAGATTTATAATTTTAAAATGCCCCTGGTCTTTTTTTTTTTCTTTTTGGGGCTATTCCTCCTAGCCCCTAAGGAGACTCCATTTCTATTTTTGGGTGTCTAGGCAGGTGGATAATATGTGACTTACAAGGTGATCTGTGAATATTCCTTAAGAGCTCAGCACTGCATCAAATGTGGGCATCGTGCTAGTGCGTGTCTTGCTGAGTCACTGGCCACCATGTACCTTAACTTCCCTTATCTGTGACATGGAGTCTCACTTCCCTGTCACGCACCAGCAGCAGTAACATCAGAAAGACCTCTCTTCTGATCACATCTGGAGGTCCATGTCATTTCAGAATCCTGCAGGTTGAGCCCTTGGGTCAATATCAAAGGCATGAAAGTTGTGTTTATCAAAAGCCAGTGATGCAAAAAATGAATCTCTGAGCTTTCTGTGCATTTTAAGTGCCCAGAATGAGCCCCCGGGCACTTGTTCTATTTGATCTTGCCTGCTTCCGAAGTGGAGATACAAACCATAGGAATAATTTTCAACAATCAACTTAATCAAAATGAATATTTCCAATCAGTAAATGTATTGAGTTCTTGCTTATGTAGGGTACTCTGATGGCTTCCATCAGAAAACTCAGATATATGGTTTCTGTTTTTTTAAAAGTTGTATTTATTTATGCATAAAAGAGCTGGAGTTCAGGTCAGAGGTGCAGGGGGGTAGAAAGAGATGGGGGGTGGGCGAGAGGATTCACCAGAGACAGAGTGGAGAGCAGAACAGGCAGATCTACTGAAATACACTGCTGAGGGGAGCAGCGGGTGAGACAGGAGAGGTTAGATGCACCATGTGGGTCAACTCCCTGGCTGGGGATTGAACTCATGCTGCAGTGGCTGCCAATAGCTTCATAGTGCTGAGATTTAACCCCTTGAGCCACCAGGGAGGCCCCAGATATATGGTTTCTGCAGTTGAAGAGGCTCCAGGCAGGTCTGTGACTACTCCCGAAGTTCCATGAGAATGTGCAGAGCTTGCTTTGGGTTATTTCACTGGAAAATGGCCTGAAGTTCCCCTTCCTGTTACCTCCTGAAAGTGGCAGATTATGCTTACAAAAGAGAGTTGACAGTGAAATGTTTTGGATTACAATTTATTCCAGATGGGTTTTAAAAATACAGGGAATTTTTCATCTGTTTGCTTGCATAATTGAAAGTCTGTAGATAGATCTCCTTTCAGGTCAAGTTTGATCCAGTTGTTTGCAGAGCATCAGTGAGCATATTGTTTTAGAGATCTATCTATGCCATTACTTCATTTATTTTTATTGTCAAATAAAATGGATAGATCACATTTTGTTTATCCATTCATCAGTTCCTAGAGTTTGGGTTGCTTCCATGTTTTGGCTATTATGAACAGTACTGCTATGAGCATTCATGGGCAAGTCTCTGTGTGGAGGTGTATTTTCATTTCTCTTGGGTAAGTACCCAGGAGTGAGTGAGCAGTAAGGTGTTAGAGCAGGATCAACAGCTGGACACTGTGCTGTGTTGAATAACAGGGATTTGTTGCTAGTTATGACCATGAAAGCCCAGTGGTTATGACTTCTATCTAACAATTCTATTTCCGTTAAATTAGTATTTCTCAATCTCAGCACTATTGCTGTTTTTGGACAGATAATTCTTGCTTGGTTGGGTTGGGGATGTCCTATGAACTGTAGGATATTGGGGAGCATCCTTGGCTTCCACCTACTAAACACCTCCCACCCTGGTCCTAGTTATGTTAACCAAAATCATCTCCAGATATTGCCAAGATTTAGAGGAACAAAACTTCCCCTAAATGAGAATCATTATATTACAGTTTAATTAATATATGGAAGGTGTTCCAGGCCCTCTTGGGACCTAAGGGCATTTGGTGGTAGAGCACATGGCTGTCTTTCATGCTTAATGTAGGTGTGTGGGTCCTGCCTTGGAGTGTTTGACGTTGACATCCTACATACTGCTTTATATAAATTGTTCTAAATCAGTAGCTCTCTTGTGGTTCGGTGTGTATGCATTTGTTCTCAAATTGGGCCAAGAGAAGAAGTAGATGATTGCAGATGGCACAGGCTGTCATCTCTGTCGATTTAATTCAGATCAGTCCATCCTGGTGGAATTTATTCCAAAAGTCTGATTGTAAAATAACATGTAACAGGTACGCTGAGTGTTTATGCAGCTCTGCTTACAAGAAGCATAAAGCAAAATGGAATGGATTTTGGTTTTGGGTTTTTTCATTTGTTTTGACTGCCAGGTATATATTTCTCTCTTCCAAACAGCACCCTGCTTGCATTTTGAAGAATGACTTCTCCCTGATTGTGGGCAGTTGATGGACAGAAAATCCAGGCATGCAGCCCTTACACTGTAGAAGCCAAAAGGGGTTCCTGGATGACCCTGCAGGCAGGTCCATCCTCTCCAGCTCCAGGAGGTGGATATGAGGTTCACTTATCTATTGCCATGCAATAAAGAACCCCAAATTTAGAGGCTTAAAACAACAATGAATTATAATTTCCTATGATTCTGTGAGTTAGCCATCTGCACGGATCTTCTGGGCTCATGCACATGGCTTCAGCTGCCACATGGTAGGACTAGGTTGGATGATCCAAAATGGTCTTACTCAGTATTTGGCAATGGGTGCTGACTGTCATCTGGGGAGCCTCAGATCTCTTCAACATGACCTCTCATCTTTCAGTGGGCTAGCCCTCTGGCATGGTGGTCTTAGGGCTGCAGGATGTGAAGGGAAAAAACTACAAAAATTCTTAAGACAGAGGCTCTGGAGTTCACATAGTGTCATGTCTGCCACATTCTGTTGATCAGGGCAAGTCATAAGGCCAACCCCAGTTCAAAAACTCTACCTCTTAAAGGCAGGAGCAGCAATATCACAATAAGAGAGGGGGGTGGGCAGAGGAAAGACTGAATCTTTGAGAGCTATTATTTTAATAATGTGATACATATGTAACTCTAATCATACCAATTTGACAGTCTCTAGTGGGGCTCTGCATGTATGTACGTGTGTTTGGCTTGGGTTCCTCAAAGTTGACTTCTGTCACTTGCAACCAAATAATCCTAATGATACATATGTAAGGTCTGTTGAGTTGAAAACTTCCCCCAGATTTTGATATACATTCACTTCTCCCCACTGGTTATAGGGGGCAGGTGCCAAGTCTCTGAGAACTGTCTGACCCCATTCCAGCTCCACCAGTGGCCCCCCTTTGCCCATGTCTATGCAACGTGATCCCAACTCCTTGAACATAGTTATAGGGACCAGAAGTATAAACTGACCCTACTGAGCCCAATCAGCTCATTTCTCCCAGCATTTGAAATCAGGACAAGTGAATCCATCAGACTCTACTATCTCTTGAGTGAGGCCATGTAAATTCAAGGACTGAGGATGATCACCTTCCACCCTACACGGGAAAAAAATAGAGAAAGTTGATGGGCAGAAAGAAAGAAGCAGAGAACCAGGCAATGAGCATTAGAATAAACCCTGCAGCTGCAGCTGAGGGGTGAGAAAGAACATGTAGCATCAGAAAAAAAGGGAACCTGAGAGATATTTGACTCCTGAGAGCTTTCTGGTCCCTGGCCTTGTCTCATGGGATTGGTGCAAGAATCAGCAAACATCTGAATTCAGGTCAACAAGAGAGAATGAATTCCAGAACTCATGTGAGATATATATTCTTTTTCATGTCAGAAGATACAATCTTTCTTCCCCTGGATGGTGTGGTTTGAAGATCTGAGATACGACAAGTAGACCAGAATCCAGAGCAGCTATAACACCACTGGGCAGACTCTAAAGATGATGATACCAACACTATAAGAGCTAGAATGGAGAGGGAGGAAAGAAAGCACATGTTTTCCAGTCCCAAAACTGGGTGCTAGTGATAGCTGCAGAACTAGAGCAACTCACTAAAAATTATTGAATTGCACATTGAGAATGGGGGGACAATTTATGATCGGTAAATCATACCCCAATAAAAACTTGTTCAATGTGTATGCATGAATCACGTTGCATTCAACTCTACCTGGAAGTTGTTTGGAAAAGACTTAGTCTACAACCCAGACTTGCTGATTCAGAATATGCAGCTTTACCGAGATTTCTAGGTGATTTGCATGCATGTTAAAATTTGAGAAACACTTATTTTATATGGGACTTGATCAAAATGGGCAGAACCCAGAGGTAGCTAACCATGACTTCTGGCTGAAAAAATGACTCCTATCCATGCACAAGACCTAGGAGTATTGCTTGCTTCTCCCACCAACTTTTTGAAAGACTTAAGCTTTGATGCATCTTAAAGTGAGATAAATGAAGGATTGGCCTTTGTATTTACACTTGAAAAATAATAGCATGTAGGATATTTTTACTGTGTCAGGCAATATGCTAACTTTACA